ATTTAAAAATTAATGAATATAAATTCATAAAAATGTGAATTCATCTAATACTATATCAATAAAATATTATTATTTTTAAGAATATATGGTGTTGGTGTGATAAAAGAAAATATGAAATAAAAATAATAAACTCAAATCACTATAATTATATTATTATATTACATTTTTTACATTTGTTAGTTTGATGTGAAATTACTTGTTAAAGTTTAAAACTTTAAGTTATCAAACATAATTACTAATTGTGTCAATTTGTCATGAATTAAGATTTATGTTGTTTTGTAACTTGAATATTTTATATGTAGTCTATGTTATAAATGACAGAACTCAAGTTTTTTAATGATGAGAGGGAGTTGGTTGGATGGTAAGCACCTCTCACTTCCAACCCAAAGGTTGCGAGTTCGCGTCACCAAGGGAGCAAAAGGGATAAGAGTTGGGTTGCGAGTTCGAGTCACCAAGGAAGCAAAAGGAGTGACTGATAAAACCCTTTCAAAAGAATTAAATAAGATATTGAGACTATATTGTGTGAGTTATATTTACGCTTGTAGAGTCTAGTTATTAAAGTTTCAAAATCATATTTAACACCACAAATCGCAGATTCATTTTATGGCGGACATAATGGAGATTCTTTAAACCGTCGTAAATATGCTTGTTACATAGGTAATTGTGGTAATTTTTAAAACTGCCTCAATTAATTTTGTGTAAATCAAAAACTTCCACAAATCGACAAAAAATCGTTCATAATTTGACCCCTTTTTTTAAGTGAAATGATATATATATTCACGCTGCAAAGAGGAATCGTCTAGACAATGATGCACATTTGTGCAATATCGAGTTAGAAATGAATATTCCATCCCAATTTATATTTATGTGGCTATAAATAATGATATTTTTTAATAGAAAAAATGAAGCATGACTCACATTTTTGACGGAGGAAGTAATATACTGACATAAAAAAAGTGCAAAAACATTTCGATCCTCAACCAATAGAGGAAAAATGACATAAAACATGTTCACAATATAAAAAAGAAAATTCTTAGGATAAAATTAGCAAAAGCAGCAAGAAGTTTGTACATGATATACGTCAAAAAACGAAAAGAAGTAAAAAAAATGAACAATGTCTATTTGTGACCAATTCTGCATCTTCTCTTCAATCATTTAAAATTTTGTTCAATCTTGCAATCTTCTCACGAAAAAAATTTCAACAATTACCTTAAAAAGCATACAAACAATAAGCATAACAATTTAAAACATAATAACTCATTAGTATTGTTATATGTTTTGATATCTTTCTATTGTTCTTGATTCTAAAATTAGACAAAGTCATATATTAGTCTCAAATATCTACGTAAATTGGAGAGAAAATTCAATACATATCATTTGAGTCCTTATTCGATCTCTGATTATAAAAAAAAGGAATCGAGAAGAAAATATCCACAATAACTGATTCTATTATGAGACAGCTCATGATGTTTTATCAATCATCTTTGATAGTTCATCGTAAAAAAAAGTTTATACAAAAGATCCGAAATCATCCTCATATTATACCCTTTCTTATAACATTAATTAGAGGCCAAGAAAAAAAAACAAGTAATTAATAGATATGAAATAATTATGCGATTAAGTATATACAAATTACGATATAATAGATGTAGAATAATGCTTTGTGGTCAAACCTTACAATTGATGTTGGATATTTCATACATAACTAACATTTATATAACTAATACTCATATATTTAATATTTTCATAATTATTCTCACATTATTAATATTTTCATAACTAATATATCCACGTCGTTATTTCTCCATTATCCATATTATTAATACATGTATGACTCTGTCTAGCTGCCAAATAATCTTTAGAAATTAGTACACATAACTTTTTGCAAATTCATATTTAATAAATTATTTAATGTTTTAAGTTACTTTTTAATTTCTTATACTATATAAGCATGGACAGATCCACTCTTTATCCAGTAACCTTATTTAACATACACATCTTCTATCAAAAGAATCAACAACCAAAGATTGATCAAAAACATCATTTTAGAAACCCATTATAAAAGGCATAATGAGAGACTAGAGTAGCAACAGGGCTAGCAAATTTTAATGAGTATCCTGTTTAATGAAGTACTGTCATCCTATAAGTTAATTTTGTTTAGTAGCTTGAACTAACTGTTGGGACCAATATTTTAAAAGGCAGTAGCGTGAGGTGACACGTTTTATATTGTACGAGGTGAGATTTAAGCCCTGAGACATAGGGCATAATTTTCATGAATCTACGGAGCATAGTTTCGTGTACATTTAATTTATAAATTTATTACTAAAAAGTAAAGCAAAAGTAAATTTCTCAATTATTTTACAAATAAATTTTAATAAATAACCTATAATATATAGAATAAACATATTATGATTTTTTATTTGAGAAAGGTATTAAATAACCAATAGCGAAGAAAAAAAGTATGACAATTACTAATTGAGAAATATCACTACACTAATAATAAAAATATTATTTTAAGCATAAAAGAATCAAAAATAAAAAAAAAACAAAATAACGCCCAGACGTGCGTTTTTATCATAAGATTTACATTTTTAGACTCGGGGCTTATATTTGAACGCGTGGAACTTACGCCCAAATTCTAGGACTTAAGCTATATGGATGTACGTCTTCAATTTACACCCAAGAGCGTTTTTCTACACTCTGCTCCAAAATTCGCCCCTAAAAACGTTTTCGTAAACATTGGCTGGTACGATTGTCTAGTAGCATGTTTCCTCCCCCTCCCCCACCCCACTTCAATTCTCACTTTTGGTATATTACAACTATTTACCCAAGAAAAAGTACTTCCTTCGTTTTTATTTTTATATATTATCATTTTAGATTTCACGTTTCTAACTATGTAAGTTTATCATTGTACACTTATTTTAATTTCTTGATGTCAAGTTTTTAATAAATAAACATAAATTAATTTATTTTGATTAATTAAATTGACCAATGAACATGAATTAATGAGTTAGTTTTTCTATGTTGATCAAATTCATATTTTCAACACTAAAAAGTATCAAGTAAATAAGAAAAATAGTGTCAGTTATGCATTAATTTTGTGAAATGACAAATACTCTCTCGTCCACTTTTAATTGTCATATTTGAAAATCAGTTTGACTAATTTTCAAAATTAAATCAGATTACACTGATTCGATATTTCAAGCGAAAATTTAGATATTTAAAACCTATACGAAAAATACTATAAATTACAATTTTTGGCATATCAATATGATGAAATATACTCATAAAATATCAGTCAAAATTCTTATCGATTGAATCTAAAACAAGAAAATTATAACCAATAAAACTTGACGGAGGAAATATTAAGAACTATTTACGACATATAAATAAAAACAGCGAAAGAATAAAAATCAAGTTAAAGTGATAGGACAACAAGCACCAGTGGTCTAGTGGTAGAATAGTACCCTGCCACGGTACAGACCCGGGTTCGATTCCCGGCTGGTGCAATATTGTGAGTGCTGTGATGATAAATGCACAATTGGGTGAGATTTGGGTCTCCCTACCAAGTCTGATATTAGACATAAAATGTTGCATCTGAGCCTCTCTTTTTTTCTTCGTATATTATTAATTCGCGTTGATTCATGAGTGTTGTGATGATAAATGCACAATTGGTGAGATTCGGCTCTCCCAAGTCTGATATTAGACATAAAATGGGTCTCCCAGCCATCTCCCTGCCAAGTCTGATATTAGACATAAAATGTTGCATCAGAGCCTCTTTTTTTTCCTTTGTATATTATTAATTCTCGTTGATCATGTTTAAAATTATCTTGAAGGACAAATGTTGCATTTGAGCCTCTTCTTTTTTCAAAGACAAATTATAGAAACTAAGTATATCTTCTAAAGCTAATGCAAGCTCATTTTATCGTATTGGAAAACTCTAACACGCTTAATACAGCCAGCGACCTGCGAAGTTTCAAAGAAGGCTTTAGACATTATTAAACTAATAAGCAAACATCTCATCTTTGAAAAAAAAAATTTCACCTCAAAGTAAATACATATGTCTATACCTATGAAACTACAAATTGGAATACTCTCGACAAAATGTCAATACAAAAGATTAATAACATTAATCTTATAGCATAAGTTTAAAGATATTCTCACAAACAACCTATAACATTGAAACTACAAATTAACTTGCACAATAAAAACAGTACACACTCTAAGTAGTAATTGAAACTTAAGAAGAAATGGACACTTGTAAAAAGAAAACACTAAAAAAAAAGAAGCTAATTTGTAGAGGTTTACTTGTGGGGATTTTTAAAAACTCCACTAAAAATTGTAGCGTTTATTTTAACCCCTGCAATATAATTTATTAGGTGACGATTTTATTCTGGTAGCTTGTGATAACCTCCGCAAATTACACTAATTTTTGATGTTTTGTGAATGCCGCAAATTTATTCTAAGGTTTTATTGTGGGGGTTTGTAGTTATTAACAATATAATTATGATTAGTTTGTTAGTTATGTTAGTTAGAGTGTTGTTAGATGTCACATCAAGTTAGTTAGAATTTTCAAAGTTAGTTAGTCACACATTTTACATTTCATATCTTTTGTATTTGTTGAGTATAGGACTACAATTCTCTTGTATATATATGTGAGAATCAATACAGGAAGATCAGTAATTCATCTTCTACAAATCAACATATACGATGCCTTCTTCTTCTTCTTCTTCTTCTTCTTCTTAAATCGATTGTTATGGTTCCATTCTGTTTTGGTGTAAATCACCATTGTTGATCAGCTTAACATGGTATCAGAGCAAGGCTGTTCTTGCTGGTTTTGATTTGAATCTGCTGTTGGTTTCTTCCTGTTTAGTTGTTTTTCTTGTATCCAGTCGATCCTTCATCATGACAGAATCTGAAAGTGCTCCTTCAGCACAAGGAACCTCTGTTAATATGATGCACACAACACTCTCTACATACATCCTTCAGATAGCCCTGGTATGGTATTAGTTCCAACTCAATTCGATGGAACAGGATATAGATCCTGGAGAAGGGGAGTTATGCGAGCTTTGCCAATGAAGAACAAGCTTGGATTCATTGATGGTAGTTGTGTTAAACCAGCTGCAAACTCAAACCAGTTGCATCAATGGCAGAGATGCGATGACATGGTGACTTCCTGGATTTTAAACTCTCTCACTAAGGAAGTTGCAGATAGTGTAGAGTATGTTAGTGATTCAGTGGAACTTTGGAAGGAACTTGAAGATAGATATGACCAAACAAATGGAGCAAAGCTATATCAAATTCAAAAGGAGATTAATGATCTCACACAGGGAAATTTGGATATAACAGTCTACTACACCAGGATGAAAAAGCTTTGGGAAGAATTGAGCACTTTGAATGTAAAGAATCAGTGCTCTTGTGCTTGTAATTGTGGAGCCAAGGATGGATTATACAAAGCAGAACAAGAAAGACGTTTGATACAATTCTTAATGGGGATGAATGAGGTGTATACTGTGATAAGAGGCAACATTCTTATGATGAATCCTCTTCCAACAATGGCACAAGCCTTTTCCTTAATGATTCAAGAGGAGAAGCAAAGGGAGTTCAAACCCGCTAATCAAACTCCTATGGAATCGATTTCCTTGAATGTGAACTCTTCTAATAACAATGGAAAGGGATCAACAGGAAGAAACTACAAAACATCATTCTCTAATGAAAATTACTTTGGCAATACTTCAAGTAACAACAATTATGGAGGATCCAATTACTTTCCAGCTAACAGTAGCAATAGAAGTGTTATGGTTTGTAGTTATTGCAAAAAGACAGGACATATTAGGGAGAAATGTTATAAGTTGATTGGATATCCTAGTCGGACTAATAGGAACAATGGATCTCATGCAAGGCAGAATAATAATCATGAATATAGAGGAAGGAGAGTTGTAGCTAATGTTCATGGATCCTCTAATAATGTGGTATCTGCACAGGGAGAAGATTCCATGCAGAATAATCAGAATCAAATGGTTACATTCACTAAAGATCAATATGATAACATGATGAAACTTTTGCAGAATTGTCGAGTTGAAGGAACTGATTTAAACAACTCAAACATGGAAGTTGGTTCTATGAACTTTGCAGGTACTATAGTATGTTCTTCATCTATTGATTTTGGCAATCCTTCATGTGAATGTTTTAAATCAAGTGCTGACCTATGGATCATTGATTCAGGAGCATCAAACCACATAACCTTTAACAAATCCTCACTTACCAATATTCAAACCATGTCTTACCCTATGCTTGTCTCTTTACCCAATGGATACAAAGTTAAGGTGATAGAATTTGGAGATGTAGTGATCACATCTGGAATTGTTCTACACAATGTGCTATATGTGCCCTCTTTTAAATACAATCTAGTGTCAGTTCACTCATTGACTCTTTCAATGAGAAGTGTTATCCTATTGACTAGTGTTTCTTGTTTACTGCAGGCCCCTTCAGTGAAGAGGCCTCAGGTGCTTGGTAGTAGCAGAGAAGGACTCTATTTTCTTTGTTCAAGGTGTCTGAAGAATCCTGCTAATTTCACCACATGCTGCTGCATATCTCACAACAATCACAACTCTTCTTTGTCTAGCAATAATAGTCAAGCCACAAACAAAACTTCACATGATAATAACAAATGTACTAGTCATACTGTTTGTTCTTCTACTTCTGATGCTGTATCTACTTAACATAATGTAGACCTATTGTGGCATAATAGACTTGTCCATGTGCCTTTTGTGAAAATGAGGAGGATATCTACCATCCCAGCCAGTTTCTCAAACAAACAACCTTTTATGTGTACAATCTGCCCTATGGCAAAACAAGAAAGATTGCCTTTTAGCCAAAGTGTCACACATTCTAATTCCATTTTTGAGCTTATTCATGTTGATATGTGGGGTCCTTACCATGCACCTACCCTTGACAATTACAAATATTTCATCACCATAGTAGATGATTTTAGTAGATCAACTTGGACTCATCTGTTAAGCACCAAGAGCAATGCCTTACAAGTTCTCAAAAACTTTGTAAATATGATAGAAAATCAATTCCAAACCACAGTCAAAATTATTAGATCAGATAATGGACTTGAGTTTAATAACAATGAAACCAAATTCTTCTTTCAATCCAAAGGTATAATCCATCAAAAGAGCTGTCCATATACACCTCAACAAAACAACATAGTGGAAAGAAAACATAAATATTTGTTAGAGACAGCAAGAGCTCTTCTATTTCAATCAAAGCTTCCCATAAAATACTGGGGGGAATGTATACTTACAGCAACACATCTTATAAACAGACTTCCTTCAGTCTATTTGAAAAACAAATGTCCTTATGAAGTCCTATACAAAACAAAACCAGATTACAACCAACTTAGATCCTTTGGTTGTTTGTGCTACCCAACATTACCCAAAGTTCAAAGGGATAAACTACAACCTAGAACTACTCCTCATGTGTTTGTAGGTTTCCCCTTTGGAACAAAAGGATACAAAGTGATGAGTCTTGCCACAAAAAGGATACATGTGTCTAGGGATGTAGTGTTTCATGAGCATCTGTTCCCTTTTACATTAACTTCAGATAAATGTGTTTTTCCTTCTATTCCTAGTACTAATTCTACAAATAGCAGAATTGTTCCTTCAAATGTTTTTGATGATTGTGTTGATTCAATATTTGATAGCACTTTGGTAAATCAAAATACAGATGTGCTCCCTACTTCTTCAACCTTATCACCTAATCCTCCATCTCATAACAGAAATCAATCACCTTCTCCCCCTACATTATTACACAGAAGATCACAAAGAGAAAGCAAGATTCCTTCACATTTGAAAGATTACATCTACTCAATTCCTACCCTAAAAACTCATATTTCTACCACACAGTCTATTTCCATTGATAAAAACTTCTCTTTGAATGCCATGTTCACTAAACATCATCACATTACTCCCAATAATATTGCATCTAATAGTCAAGCAATGGTTGAAAACATTTGCCATGATAGTGAGCCTTTATCTTATGAGGAAGCAGGCTTAGGTCCTGCATGGCAAAATGCCATGGTGCAAGAGTTTGATGCACTTTATGCAAACAATACTTGGAATCTTGTAAAATTACCTGCAGACAAACAGGCAATTGGATGTAGATGGGTGTATAAAGTGAAGCACAAATCTGATGGTAGCATTGAAAGGTTTAAAGTCAGACTAGTAGTTAAAGGCTACATTCAACAGGCTGGTGTGGATTATACAGAGACCTATTCTCCAGTGGTTAAAATGACCACTGTGAGAACCTTAATTGCATGTGCTGTTAAAAAGGGTTGGGAGATGTCTCAGCTTGATGTAAACAATGTCTTTCCTCATGGTGATCTCCATGAAGAAGTATACATGAAACTACCACAAGGGCTTGCTGTGGATGACTTGAGCTTAGTGTGCAAGCTAAACAAGTCTCTTTATGGTTTAAAACAGGCTAGTCAACAATGGTATGCCAAGTTGACTGAAGCTCTATCACTCAGAGGATATGTACATTCCCATCATGATTACTCACTTTTCCATAGAAATGTTGGTGCCTTAGTTGTCTTTGTTGCAGTCTATGTTGATGATGTTATTCTCACAGGAACAGACACTGCCGAGATTACACAGTTAAAGGCCTACTTGGATGATACTTTTAAGATTAAAGATCTTGGTCGATTGCATTACTTTCTAGGGATGGAGATACTTGACATACCAGGAGGGGTACTTGTCTCCCAAAGAAAGTTTGTATTGGATTTACTAAAAGAATATGATTGTTATAATCAGAGTTCACTTACATCTCCTCTTGATCCAAATATCAAACTAAGGGAAAGAAGGAACTCCATTACCTGATCCTACATACTACAGAAAACTAGTAGGAAAATTGAATTTCCTTACTAACACTAGACTGGATATAGCATTCAATGTTCAACACTTGAGCCAATTCATGCAAGATCCTAGAACTTCACATTTACAGGCAGCATTTCATCTTCTTAGGTACTTGAAACAAGATCCAACTCTAGGCCTTCATCTATCCAAAGATTCTGATTGCTCAATCAAAGCATATTGTGATTCAGACTGGGCATCTTGTCCAGACTCAAGAAGATCAGTTAGTGGATACTTGGTTTTACTTGGGAACAGTCCAATCAGCTGGAAATCAAAGAAACAAGAAACCATCTCATTATCCTCTGCAGAAGCAGAATATAGATCCATCGGAAGGTAGTAGGTGAGCTGGTTTGGCTTCACAGGTTGACAAAAGAGTTAACTATATCTGATTCTTCACCTATTCCTGCCTTTTGTGATAGTCAGTCTACCATCCACATAGCTCACAATCCTATTTTCCATGAGAGAACCAAGCATATTGAAGTCGATTGTCACTTTGTACGCAGCAAACTTCAGGAGGGGCTCATTTCACTACATCACATTTCTACCACTGAGCAGCTAGCAGATATACTCACAAAGGCCCTAACTGGAGTTAAACATTTAGCATTACTCAACAAGTTGGCTGTAAGATCATCACTGCCAACTTGAGGAGGGGTATTAACAATATAATTATGATTAGTTTGTTAGTTATGTTAGTTATGTTAGTTAGAGTGTTAGTTAGATGTCACATCAAGTTAGTTAGAATTTTGAAAGTTAGTTAGTCACACATTTTACATTTCATATCTTTTGTATTTGTTGAGTATAGGACTACAATTCTCTTATATATATATATATGTGAGAATCAATACAGGAAGATCACTAATTCATCTTCTACAAATCAACATATACGATGCCTTCTTCTTCTTCTTCTTCTTCTTCTTAAATCGATTGTTATGGTTCCATTCTGTTTTGGTGTAAATCACCATTGTTAATCAGCTTAACAGTAGTAACCTCTACAAATTACATCAAATTTTGGAACAATAAGCACCAGTGGTCTAGTGGTAGAATAGTATTCTGCCACCGTACAGACCCAGGTTCGATTCTCGGCTGGTGCAATGTCATGAGAGCTGCGATGATGAAATGCACAATTGGGTGAGATTTGGGTCTCCACAATGTCTCTTAATCAAGACGATAAAATGTTGCATCTGAGTCAGACTCTTTTTTGTCTTTTTAAAATTATTAAATTAGTAGTAATAAGCTCGATATAAAGAGTTTATATCAGACGATAGAATATTAAGTTTTTTTTAAGTCTACAATAATTAGTTTTTGTTGATAATTTGTCTTCAATAATTAATTTTTGTTGATCACGTCTATAGAATTATCAAATGAGTAGTAATAAGCTTGATATGAAGAGTTCAATACAAAAGAAGAAGAAGAAAACATTGTAAACCGTAAGAAGAATCATAGAATATAACACACTTTGTTAACTAGTGTATGAAATGGTTTTAATTTACTGAAAGAGCATTCGCACCGTATGTTGATTGATTGATATTTAAATTAATAATACAATACCATATGACAAATATCCAAATAAGATATATATTACGTACTAATTTAAACACAATACTCTACAACGAGTAACAATCATATAATTATACGTATCCATTTAAATAAAAAGGAAACCTAAGTAAAAGGAAATACAATTAGCTTTCATACCAAGTGCTCTTGGAATTTGACTTTCCAGAATTGTATATGCTAAAGTGATTCATTTATTCAGGATTGAAAGGGTTATTATCTGAAAATGTCACTCAACTTTGAGAGTTTAATCTCGTAAAGTTTAATTTTCCATCAATAAATTTTTTTAATTTGTATCAAATTCACAAATAAATAAAATTAAAAAAAATTATTAAGAAATAATTACAGAAAAAATTTCAAATTAAATATTTATATTCTCAAAATCGAGCATATGTATCACAAAGATATTAAAAGGAGAGTGCTTATGTCTCATATGTTCAAGCTTCACCTAGAAGGCTAGAACTAGAATTAGACTTCAGTCCTATAAATTCTTATTAAGCTTTGAGATATGCTCTAGAGTTGTACTTCCTGGTTTTATTACTGCCTCACACTTCGTTTTGATGGTTGTTAAAAGTTAGTTTTTCATGATGTATCGTACTATATTGTTTTAATGACTGTAATGTTTAGATAGATTGTATTATTCTTCATTATTACGTAATTCCACGCATAAATAATTTGACTGATTTACTTAAAAGAGAAGATAAGGTACAAGGTAGAGATAGAAATAGGATAAATAATAAAATAAAATTATACATATATTAGTTACGTAAGTTTTAAATTGCAAAATCAAATATTAATTTGAAGTAAATTATTCAATTATTTTGAGTTGTTTTCAATTTCTTATACTATATAGGAGAAAATATATTTTGAGTTATGATACAGTTGGAGTATTAATTATTAGTACCCTCCTACTATCAATATTGATATGGAAAACTTGACTACACTCAAACTATTTACTTATCTTCTACACTCAATGTTACAAATAAATTTTTGCTTCTAAAAAAGTTTGTAAAACAAATTTCTCACAAGAAAAAGAACCTCTTTGTATGAGCATGGGTTAATAAAATAGATTGTAGATCCTTTTATTTTTGTCAAAATCAATGCATTCGAAACTGCAGATATTTTCAATAAACTGCAAATTAAAAACTTTAATGTAATTACTAGGTTAACTGAAATTTTATTTTAAATTATATCATATGAATGCTTGAAATGTAGGTTAAAATTTACCTGCATCACATTTTTATATCAAGTTAATACATGCATATCATGTGTAACTTATTGTTCATTCTACTCCATAAATCACATAATAACGAAAATTGCATTGGCTTGGTATAAACACCCGGTGCGGATAAGGTTTTTCCTTATACTTTTTATTGATATAATTAAGATGAATGAACAAGTTAAAGTTTTAAAGCAACAAGCACCAGTGGTCTAGTGGTAGAATAGTACCCTGCCACGGTACAGACCCGGGTTCGATTCCCGGCTGGTGCAATATTGTGAGTGCTGTGATGATATAAGCACAATTGGTGAGAGTTGGGTCTCCACCTTGGTCTTCTAAATTAGACATGAAATGTGTTGCATCTGAGCTTCTATTTTTTTTTAATTTACCTTGAAAAAATTCGTATACAAAAAAAAAAGGTATTATTTTCAGTATAATTAGATATCATTATCTTGAAAAGACTCTTATGCGAAAAAGAAGAAAATATAATTATGTGGGTTATATACACTTTGTTGACTAGTGTATGAAATGATTTTAATTGGTTGATTTTTTATACTAACAAATAAATAAAATATAATGGATGACCATTCAAACAATGTGTAATGATAGCAAGTTGTATGAGCTTTGCTATGGATTTGTAACGACTCATTTGGTAATTGATAAAACTAAGATGGCTACCAAACAAAAAAAAAACATGGCAAATAAAGAAATACTTTTTGCCTATAAACTAAAAGATACTCGAGCTCATCATAACCTTTTTTGTGATCACGCTCATCATAACCTTTCTTGAAAGTAGACGACAAGTTTGAAATCTTAACGCCAGCATAATCATTGAAAGAGTATCTTTTTTTTCGCCACATCACATCAAGGTGACAGAATTCAAACCTATGGCCCTCTGTACCCAAAACAGATGCGTGATTACATGTCTATATATGTGTATACCTTTCATGTATCTGTGCATGTCTATGCAATTAGTGTGCGACACACGGTAATATATACAATTTGTACACATGTTTTACATTATTATAGTAGTGTCTACCGCGATACATACGATATATACACATGATTTACATTATTATAGTAGTTCCATGATCATTTTAGCTCCAATTTAAAATAATTACCTTAAATTAAAAGATGATTCCATGGATATAAATGTATGTATATCTTTCATGTATCTGTGCATGTCTATCCAATTAGTGTATACACATGATATACATTATTATAGTAGCATCCACGATGATTTTAGCTCTAATTTGAACTCCAAATCAGCCCGAATCGATAGAAAATGCTATTTGCTTTCATTAAGTGACACTTAAGCACAACAGTATGTTGGAGAATGAAAAATTTCTATAGGTGAAATTCATTAAAGTATTGTACTGAGGTTTCAAACTTAATTTTACTAATGAAACTTTAATAATTTATATTGGAGTTATGTTATTAAAACTCAACTGATAAAACCATGACTGATTATGGAACATAGTTGAAATATATAGATAAGATCAAAACAATCCCATCAATGAAGAAATTCTTGGTCAAATTTTCATTCGAAAATTTGATCTTTGAAAAAAAGGAAAAGGGTTAAAATATCCCCAATTTTGGTTTATTATTTAACTTTATCCTCGCCGTTAAAATAAAGTTAAATTTACCCTTTTCGTTATTAATTTCATCATAATTGTCCCTCATTTAACGAAGTTCCCAAAATTGACCCTAATTATCTGAATTTTTTCAAAAAAATCCTATTTTTAATCCAATGCCCCAACCTTTTAGAGGATAAACCATTTCTCTTTTACCCATTCTCTCAAATTTTCATACAATCCATTAACTTCTCCTCCATTGTTCTTCATTTCTCCTTCCTCCATTGTTCTTTATTTTTAAATATATATTCAAAAGAATGATGGGATGCATTAATAAAGGATGGGAGGTTGTAAGTTGAAAAATCAGTAGTTGTTTGAAAAGGAAAAAGGGGATTGAAGACAGAGGCAACAACATAGCTGAAAGTTGGGAGATTTTGGGTATTAGATTTAATTAGTAGTTTTAAGTTTTTGCCTCAAAGATTCAATCTATGGTTCTTCATGTTTCAATGAGAATGATGTTGATAAATTCCAAAAGGGTATACGAATTAAGTGTGTGTTAGTAATTTTTGCCTCAAAAGATTCAATCTTTGGTTTTTTATACTTTGTTCTTCTTTATTAACTTTTGTCTCAAGAATTCCTTGATGAGTTATTAAAAAATTCATTAGGTTCAGATAGGGAGGGGCATATAGTAATATTATGAGGATTAAATTTTGAACTTAAAAGTTTAAAGATTTGTTCTTTAATGAGTGGGAATGGATAAATGGAAATGTATATATGGTATTGGGTTAATCGGGTTATTTCTTAAAGGGGTCAAAAATTGAAAATAAATTTTTTAAAAAAATTGGGTAATTGGGACAATTTAGGTCAATTTTGGGGATTTCGTCAAATGAGGGGTAATTTTAACTTTATTTTAACAGGGAGAAATAAATTCAACTTTATTTTAACGACGAAGATAAAGTTAAATAATAAACAAAAATTGAGAGATATTTTTGACCCTTTTCCTTTGAAAAAATACATAGAAGGCCCCTAAACTTGTTCAATGAATAAAGCTGAATGTTGAAACTAGAGAAAAAGTAGATTAATAGAGAAACAAAGTTGTTTTTTTAGGAAAAATTACGTGAATTAATACATTTTTAAAAATAGTTACTGATTAGTGATACTTTTTGTTTATTATCATTTATTGCAATATTGTGATAAATCTGTAATATGTATTAAAAATAAATTATGTATGCAATATATTTGAATTATAATTGTTTTTGAAATATCTTATGTTTGTTTGGTAAAAAATTGTCACATTGTATTATAAGTGTATTAAAATGTGTGATAAACGCATTATTCATCATTAAAACTTGTATTATATGTGAATAATAAACTGTTCTTTGTAATATGTATTAAACTTGTATTATAAATTAATTAAAAGTGATCAAGTGAAAAAATGTTATTGCTATAAATGATAAATATTTTTTTATTATAGTATATTTATGTAAGTTTTTCTTTTTTTATTTTATTTTGTGTGATATCATATGATATGTAAGAAAAATAAAGACTTTAGAAATTTATGGTCTAAATTAATTCTTAGATAATTGTATAGCGTAAGTCATTTTATTAAGGAACACTTATTGTACTAACTAAAAGATTATATTTATTTTTGTCAAGAACATTATGCCTCCAACTACTTTTCGAAAAAAACAAGGAAGAAGACAGGTTACTTTTACATAACGTACATGATAATAATATGTTTTGATTTCCCTTGAAAATTAATATGTGAAGTTAACTATTTAATTATACATCTGTTGCTACTTTGAGACCCTTACACCAAACACCATATCGAACTTTTGAAAAATAACACTGTCACCAAGCCAAAAAATTGAAGAACCAAAATCGAAGAACCTAATTAGTTTGGTTCGGTTCAGTTCGATTTTTTTATTTTTTGATATTTACGCTCACCCTAAGTGAATGACAGAATACCATAAAATATAAAATGTCACTCCAAAAATTTAATTCCCTACAAGCTCACTAAGAAGGTGTTTGACTTAGCTTAAAAATTGATTTTCAGGCCTTAACCGTGTTTGAATATTTTAGAAATAACTTGTTAAAAAAATTTAAAAATTAAAACTTTTATATTTTAACTTAAAAGTTATTTGAAGTTTGATTTTTTTTAAAAAAATATTTTTTTAAAAGCTAAATCAAATGGGTCCTTTTTTTCTTGAAAACTTATTGTGGACAAAATATTTTCTAAATTTTTTTAATCTAACTAAACATAAATTATTTTTATTTTTTTAAAGTAATTTAGCAAAATGTTCCATGTGAAAACATAAGAATTACGGTATTTTCATTTTCGTGTAGAACAAAAGATAAAAGGGAGGATGAAGACAAACATGACCCGAAAACCCGATTTGAACGTAACCGGTCGATTTCCTCTTCCACAAGATATCAGTTGCGACCAACAACATATACATATAAATCTATGGCAATGCAAATGCAATAATCCAAAGGTTTAATTGAATTAAGCAAATCAAAAGCAATGATGGAGGAAGAATTAAAGCACAAGATTCAAGAATTGCAGAAGCAATTAGGGAAGAAACAAATGTTTGAGGAAGCTGTATCCTCTATTAGATCGCTTCTTCTTCAATACTATCCTTCTGCTTCACCATCTCTTCGTAATTCGGTAACTTCCCTTTTCTGGGTTTTCCTTTTTATTACTCATTTATGTATTATGCACTTGTTCTTTCTTTTTCTTTTTTTTTTAAAAAAAATGGTTTTTGGTTTACCCAGCTAATGAATTCCTCCAAAAGAAACCCAGAAAAGGAGAAATGTTGATTAGTCGTTTTCTTTTTGGATTTTCGCTTCTGCTGCTGGGAATTTTCATTTGTAAATTGAGTATACATAAGTTTGGATAGCTGTAAAAAAGTAAACTTGGTGCGAGTTTCACTTCTTTGGAGCTGAAATTTTGAGAAATGAGAATAGTTTGCTTTGAAAATAAATGAGATAATTGAGGAAATGTGTATGCCATAACAATTTTAAGTAATTGATTGTGTACATGGGCATTTTCGGAGCTGAATTATTGAGGATAGTTTGGTTGAGGACTGGAATATATGCCATAACAAATTAAACACATAATTGATAACCAAGTGAGTGGAAGGAGCTTCATTGAAACCCCTTCGAGAAACTACACGAAATGTATAGAGTTAAAACAACTTCTTATTTATATATAATAGATGACTGGATGTTGAATCCTCTTGGATTTTTCGTGTTGTTGCTTTTTTATGTTTTGCAACCACTTAGTAAAAATCTTGGTTCCGCCTATCCAAGCCTTGTTTATGGAATGTGGAGTACCGTTTTCTAGTGTTTGGTTGGACATAAACTTGGTCAAATGTAATATCAGCAGTTGCCGGGATGGGGGAATGTTGATTGGTGACACCTGATGACTTTATAATTAGCAAATAGTGGAAACAAGGTTTACATGGTGATGTGGAGCAGGATAAGAACGAATAGTGGTAGGTGCTTATGTGAGTTGTTTTTCTCAAATTGATGTGAAATGGTTTTGCTTCGACAGCTTAGTAATCAAACATTAGAAAGTGATATCACGTAGAAGGTTCTTTTTATGTAGAACATTCACCCTTGTGATAAGCTGGGCCTAAAAGATATAGATGATGAACTAGGTTGTTGATTTGAGTCTTATTTTTTAATTACAAAAAAACGAGATAGCTTATCTACAAAGACTATTCTGTGCTTTTTTTACTTTCCAATTGATTAAGCTAGCTCGTATACTATGACGCGGAGCCATTTTGTGGCCTTTATGCTGCGTGCAAAACCCCCTTGACATTAATAGGGACTTCTTCTTTCTAACTATTAGATAGTTTAGTTGCCAAAAAATATCACCATGAAATTAAACAATTGCTCTTTTTGAAAAGAGAATTCAAAATAGGTCAATCCACGAAAGGGAACTAGTCCACAACTCCATATATTCTTATTATTAATTAACTCATGAGCTAGCTTTTGGGGTTAAGTTAAGACTAGGTGTCATATCTTTGCATGGTATCATAGCCAGGTCCATCCCCGTTTGGACTCCCGGTCCACGCTTCAGTTGGGTCTGGGCGTGAAGGGGGTGTTAGAGTTCTCACATTGGTTGGGGAATAGACTAGTGGTCTTCTTATATGAACTTGGACAATCCTCCCCTCATGAGTTAGCTTTTGGAGTTGAGTTAGGTTCAGGTGCCACATCTTTGCATATATGATTTAGTTTGCTTTATATCTATGCAAGTTTTTCTCATCACGAACTGGAGACGATGATTTGGAACAGGAACTGCACATAGGAATTGACAAGGCAGTATTAAGTCGTCGTTAAGTGCCTTTACTTACCTAAGACTTGTCAAAAAATGTTAAAAAGATTTTTCACAAGTAATTTTACTTGCATAGGAAGTTCTATTACTACTGAATAAATCTGAGTGATTCCAAATGCTTGCAGTTCTATTTGGTTGTATGTCGGGTTGCCACCATTTTAAAGACAAGATACACAATGCCTGGATTTTGGAATGCTGGGCTTGGGCTATTTATTGAGGCTGAGCACCTGGTGTCAGGATCGGCTGAGAAGAAACATTTGCAGAGTTGCATTACTCAGGCACGAGAGCAGTTAGCTGAAGTACAGAATGAATCTCAGAATACAACATCAACAGAAAATGACTCAACTAGAAGTACTCATATGACCTCTTTATGATTTTTCTCTTAATACATCGGTCATGTGCCCCCTATTGTTACAAGTATACCAACAAAAATGTTGCATGTTTTTTATATTTATCCTATTATTTTGATTCAGGATTCCTTTTTGAGGGGCATCTTACTGTTGACCCTGAGCCTGAGCAGCCTGCTTGGCTCGAACAATCTCATATTCTCACTGCTGCTGCGGCACTTCTTGGTGGTGAATCCTCTCAAGGTGATCCATCCAATGTTAACGATACGGAAGGTGCTCGCAATATACTCGAGCAGTTGGTTGCTAGACTAGATAATATGATACCAGAGGTATCTCTAGTTTTACTCTTTTCCTCGCATCAAACACAACTGTAGCCTGTAGTTTTCAGTCGTTTGAGAAGCAATATGTCAAGGCCAAAACAATTTAGCTTGAACTAAAGACGTTTCTAATTTGTTCTATTTAAGATTCTGGAAGACGGTCCTTCTGCCCCGAGACCACCACCTGCCAGTAAACAAGTTGTGGCAAACCTCCCAGTTAATACAGTCACAGATGAGTTGTTGAAGCAGCTTGGTGCAGATGCGGAGTGTGCAATTTGCAGGGAGGAGTTAGTTGTAGATGACAAGATGCAAGAGTTGCCCTGCAAGCATATGTTTCACCCTCCTTGCCTGAAGCCATGGCTGGTATGAAAGTGAAACTTTGTTGTACTTATCGTATTTTTGCCATTGTCATTTTGATTTTCCCCAATTTCATTTTGTTCCATACAATAACAACTTGTAAGTCTTCATACATTCTCACTATACGTTTAACAGGATGAGCACAACTCTTGTCCAATTTGTCGGCATGAATTGCTCACAGATGATCATCACTATGAGAGCTGGAAGGAGCGAGAAAAGGAGGCGGAGGAAGATAGGAAAGGGGCTGCTAATGCAGTTCGTGAGGGTGAATACATGTATGTATAATGCACAATACTCAAATGGATCGAAACTGCTGCGGAGGGGATTACCAAATTTCTTTTATATATTTAGGATAAAACTCTCTTTGGATTTGTAATGTGTATCAAAACTTTGCTGCTTTTGAATTACTAATCTGAGGTGCTTAAACATTCAAGAGCAACCCATAATATATATATATGGATTATTATACAGTAATGATTTTTCAGGATAATGAAGTGACTTTGAGGGCTATAATTAAAGGGGTTCAACATCTATTATAATTTATATAAAAAATAATAATTTTAATTATGTATAAACGAGATTCGAATGATCCTACGTAGCGATATACCAAGGGGCTTGTAAACATTTCATTTACCAGAATGTTGATACTCTGTGTCTTTCCTTTCAACATTTTTTTAATTTAGATTGATATTTTGGTCAAACGTAGTTAAGCAAAAATTTATGTAGCCGATTTAGGATGGAGGGCGATGAAATTGTATAATATTATTGGTCATACTTTGACGTCTGGATTTGGTCTTGGCATAGTTATTTGAAAACATTTATGAGAAATACTTGTGTTTTGTGTGGTAGGTGTGTAAATAAATATTTAGTTGGGCTTGATGTTTACGTTAAGCTAATTAAATTTTTGTATATGTTCTTGAGAGTTTGATTATAGTTAAATTTTTGTATATGTTCCTGAGAGTTTTATTATAGTTTTGAGATACTTTAAGTTTTTCTTCATTATAGTTTTGAGATACTTAAAGGCTCAAAAGTACTCCTAAACTATCGGAAACAATTCATATTTATCCTTAAACTATATTTCGGCTGAAATATATCCTTTCCGTCAAACTATTGGATCAAAAAGTACTCTTCTTATTAATAAAAGTTGTTCAAATGTCATGTGGATACATTGCATGTCACATAAGCACCAATAGATTCCACTGCCACATAGACTAATAATTTTCCTCTCGATACGATTTCACCCATTTCCCCATATTTTTCCCTCATTTCTCCATATTCCCCTAATAGCAGGTGCACGTAGGTTAGTTCCATGAATTTTTTAATCCCAAATAGCAAACATTCTAAAAAATTAACTTGTAACTAAATTTAAACATAACTTTATTTAATTTCGCTTTCTTGACATTAAATAAATTTAAAGTAATTAATTAGTGTTGGTACACAAAATGGCATGATCATAGATGAGTAGATTTGTCATCACCAAAGCTTACAATTCTAGAAAAAAAACAATAGAACATAAAAAGGAATTCAATTACGCTTCCTGCTGTTTCAATCCGACACTGCACTGCTATTAGAGGAAATATTAGGGGAAAATTATTAGTGTACGTGGCAGTGGAACTCTATTTATATTGTAGCATGCAATGTGGAATTTATATGGTATCGTTAATAAAAAGGGTACTTTGACCCAATAGTTTGACGAAAAAGATAAATTTGAGCCGAAATATAATTTAAGGGCAAATATGAGCTATTTTCAATCATTTCAGAGTATTTTTTTTTATCCTTTTTCAATTCAATAATATTACTCCTAATATTTATTGCTTTTTAAGGTTTGTCAAGTCAATAATAGACAATTATTGTTGAAGAGAGAGAGTACATGTTATTGATGAATGGTGAGAGATGTTTTGTGAAACCAGTCGAGATGTATGCAAATTGATGCGGACACCATAATTGTCATTTTTCTTTAAAAAGGTAAAAACAAGAATCTTGAGCTCAAACTCGTGTAATTTAAATTTTGAATTAATTTGCTTTTATTTCTGAATATACATCTCAAAATAGATATTGATTAATTAAATGAGAAGTTTCGAGTGTTGTGGATACATGAATTTGGTGGTGCCTGCCTGCAAGCTGCCCTAAATGCAATTGGTAAAATACAGCCATTTGGTATCAATAAGTGCAATGCATTGAAACAGAGTAAAACTTGCCAATGCATAATGGTAATGAACCATCACCATCTTTTGTGGTCATTCCCCTCCCTCCCCCACACAATTATTAGATTATTATAATTTTTTCTATTTTAATTTTTAATTTTCACTCGATACGTTTAAAAATATTATGAATATTTTAAAATATTTGACATATTTTTAATTTACCATTATAAAATTTAAAAGTACTTTTTTTAACATTATCAATTGAAACGGAAGGAAATAACAAAATACTCCATCGGTTTCAAAAAGAAAGACCAATTTTCTTTTTAGTCTGTTTCACAAAAAATGACCTATTTTTTTTTTGTAAACTTTAACATTAACTTTTTATGAGATATATTTAAAACCACAAAATTGTACGATATTTTAATAGATTGGACATAGTTTTAATTTTAAAATCACAAAATAAATTTTTTAAAAAAAATTGTTCCAAATCAAACTAGATTTTTTTTTAAACGGCGGAAGTAATAAAGTTGACAGTACATTGGGTGTACCTTGTTCACATGGAGGGGATTGATTTTGCGTTTCCCTTATTGGTTACAAGTTGTCATTCACAGCCATAACCAAAGTTAATAATAAAGCTAGTATTTACTTTCTACTTTGCAGCTCTACACTCTAGGACATGGTCCTGGTCCTACCCACCACTTATAACAGACAATGACCTTACATTTTTGGGCTTCAACGGTTGAGAAAAGAGGTAAAAAGTGTACCTTTCGAGATTTAAATTACATGAATATAGTTCGATATAGTAAATTTTCGTTATTTATGAGGATTGTGAAAATATTATACATAGCTATAATTGAAAAGAATTACGTTAGTGCAAATCTCTCCTACCCGTCCCCCTTCTTTCCTTCTCTCGTTCATCTCTCTCATTTCTCGCTCGTTCTCCTCTTTATCTCTTGCATGAATAGAATTTCAATAAGCAACAAAAGACTCGAGGGTTGATTAGATGAGATATTACTGAAAAAAAATTAGGCGAGAGATAGTGGAGATTTATCTTCTTCCTCTTTGCTTTCATACTTAAACTTTTACTACGCCTGAAAAGGAGAGAGATACAATATTCGATCGTATTTTGGAAGAGTATACATCACATGATATAAATGTTTGACAAGGATAAATTCAGTTGAATATATTAGTACAAATCTTTAGTCAGATTTAAATACACACAAATATATTGATACAAAGTGAATATACAAGGAAAATACACTTGATATAAACAGGATTGTTTCGATCATAAGGTCACTAAAACAATTGACTAGGCCACAATATTTTTTGAGCCCCAAATTCTTATGTATTGATAATTTTGCAAATAGTTTTTAAATAGAAAATATTATAATTTTTGCTTCATTTAATATAGAGATTGTTGTAATAATTAAGAAATAATGTTTAGTTAATTGTAGCGAAGATTGACCGGATCGAGTTGTATTGATACTAACTAAGAAATAATGTTTAGTTATTTGAACAAATTGAATTATGACTTCATTATAGAATTATACTAGATATGTTATAATTATTCAATTTACATATATCAACTAAAAAAAGGATTTGTTTATGAAGTTTTACTATTGGCTCTCAAATTGAGACCGTGCTACATACACTTATATTGGTACAAATTAATTGCAACAATTGTATTTGTGATACAATCATTGGGAAAAGACATAAATTCTCCCTTAAATTTATTTCGAAAAGTCAGTTACACGTTTAAACTATTATATTGACCTATTATATACCTGTACCATTCAAAAGTGAATTTTCTAACCCCTAAAACTGATGTGAAAAAATAAAACAAAAATAAAAAATAGGCTCATTAGTTTGGAAAAAAAGTAAAATAAATAAATAATAATCCTTCTTTTCTACCCCAACCACCACACCTCTTCTTCTTCACACCCCACCCATTGTCTTCTTCTTCTTCATTCTTTATTTTATCACACTTTTTTTATCACAATCTAAAAGCACATTTTTTTTATTCGCAATTAGCTTAATTTTCATAGATTTGTTAGTGAATAATTGTATTTTATCTAGAAAAATTGCGATTGATTGTTATATTTTTCATTTTTTATACGTTATTTGGTTGTTAATCAATTTTTGGGTTTAGTGGTGATTGGAATTTTATGTGTTTGGTGGTGATGGATGGCGGGTGACAAAAATTAAAATAGGTATAGAAGGTGGTGAAGAAGAAAAAATCAATATTGATAAAGGTGGTGGTGATATTTGGTGTTGGGTGACAAAGAAGAAGAAGAATTGAAGGCGATAGCGGTGGTGAAGAACATAACAATAGTGAAGGTGGGTTCATATATGATTTTACGATGAAATGAGAATTGAAAATAGATAAGATTTAGTGATGAAGAAAATATAATTATTAAAGATTTAAAATAATCAATTTGGGATTAATTAGAGTAAAATATAATTAATAAAAGAAAAGTTAATTAATAAAGAAAATAAAATAAAAATAAAAATAATTTATGACATGGCACTTTCGTAACTGATGTGGCAGCGAGTGTAATACACCACATATTGTGAGAGTGGTGTTACACGTTTTAGGGTGGTAATAAATTTACTTTTGAATAGTATAGATGTGTAATAAGTTACTATGATAATTTAAGCGTATAACTGACTTTCCGATATAAATTTAAAGAGAAATTTATGTTTTTTCCCTACAATTTGATACAAGAAATATAACATGTATCCATTATCTTCTCGTCTCTCTTTCAAATCTCGATTGTCCCTTCCTTTCTATTCACCATGATTTTTACGCAAGGACCTCCATTTTAAATTAGTTATTATTTTTTGCTTCAGACTAAATCATATAATTTTATAAACTAATATTTTCGAATATTTTTTAATCATATGCTTGACTTATTAGCAGACTCTGTTCAAGTTCCAAGCTTGAAAGACAAGCTAAGCATTGTATTACAATTTTCTAGTCCAAATCTAGAAACCACAACAGGTGGCTGTCGATTGTCATTAATATTCTAAAAGCACACACATGTTTTAGACGAAAATATAATTGTACAACATTGATTTATAGAAATTTGAGATTTTATTTCAACTGAGTATCTATATGAATATGACAATACTATTTGACTTAGAGGCGTCGAGCTAGCAAATTTATAAAATATTAAAATGAGTTAAGTTAATAAATGAATGAAATTGCTATATCATTAAATCTTATTAGATTGAAGTGATATAAATATCGAGATATAACTTAATTTGATCAAATTTTTTATTAAATTTTAAATTCAACGATTGAATTTTCTTTGTATTTTATTTGAATACCTAATAAAATTATTTT